ACATCTAGAAAATCTTACTAACATGACTACAAACTTGACTATTATAGCTGATTATCTATTAACCTGCATTTCTTAAATATACATTACATTTTTAAATGAGCTGAACAACAACAATACATGAATCAAGATCAGCAACACATATTCATATAACAAAATTGACCTTAAATTTGTATCACTAAGGCAAGATCTATATCAATGAAATTCTCTATAGCATATCACCCTTCAAATGAAAACAAATATTTGTAGACAATATTTGAGAATATGGGCATGGTTCTGTCCATACTGCTTCCAGCTGTATGGGGGCACTGTTAATCAGGTCTTTCATGGTGTACCCTGTATGCTAGGTTCATCTTAGTCAGCAGTTGAGTGAAGAAAGTTCATGAGGGTGTTCACAGCAACCTTCCAGGAGTCCTTGGTCCATGAAACCATATTTTCCTGGAGGCAATCCACAGGTTTTCATCTTCTGTGACAATAAAAGAAGAACCCCTTTTCCCAAGCAACATGTCCTTAGACTCAAATTCTGAAGTCATGATACCTTTATAATATACATGTTGTTTTAGCTTAGCAGCCCATACAATGAAATGTCTTTCTTTACTTAGCTCTTTCAAAGTCAAAAAATTCAAAGAAAATATAATCCAGACTCTCTGTGAATTTTCCATTTTTATGAGGCTTATTTTTCTTTACTCTTTTTAATCTATCACTATCTGTACTGCCTGTCTCTTTAAAGACTTTACCCTTTTATTAAAGTATTAACTTTATTTTATGACTCCCTATATTCTTTTTCTTTTCTCTCCCAAGCCTATATATATTTATCCAACACTGTGACCCATTAGAGGTCTTTTATGTCTGAATCTGTTCTATTGTAAATCTGTAATTCTTTACTGTCCAGGAAAACTTTTGCTTTGTGCTTTAAAATGCTAAGAGCTTTTAAGAATCTAAGCTGTGACTCTCTTCCCCCTTCCCCTCTGGGGCCACAAGATCTCCCCAGAGCTGCTCCCTTGCACGCTGGGCCTGGACTGTGGGCTCAGGCTGGCAGGGGCATTTCCTTTGCTTTGAGAGCCTGCCTGAGGACAGGCAAGCTCTGTCTCAGCTCAGCCACACTCCTGGCCAGCAAGAGACAGTGATCTTCTAGCAGACATCCATTGGAGGAGGGATGAGTTTGCTCCTGTTCCGAGGGCTTTGGCTAGGAGGAATTCAGACTTTCCCCGCCCCCCTCGACTTTCTGGTCACCCGGAAGAGGTGGGCCCTCCCTGCGGAGCTCTCCCGAATCCTGTCCTAGCCTTTATCCAGGTACACCTTCCTCTCTTCCCCCCCCTTCCCTCTGGGGACACAAGATCTCCCCAGAGCAGCTCCCTTGCGCGCTGGGCCTGGGCTGTGAGTGCAACCCAGCAGGAGGGAGTGCCTGTGTTTCAATAGGCTGCCTGAGGAAAGGTAGACATTCTGTCAGTGAAGTCCCTGCCAAACAAAGGGAACCTGACCTGGTACCAGAAGATCCAGTAGAGAGCATTTGAAGGAAGAGATGGGCAGACGCCAAGGCAAGAACTCCTCCAACAATCTAAAAAGCAACATGAAAACACCAGATACCAATGAACCTACAATAGAAGGTCTTGAACCTCTTACTTTAGAAGAAGCAGAAAAAAATGCTATTATGAAAGCAATAGAGTCCCTTAAACAGGATATGAATAACTCCCTTAAAGAACTGGATGAGAAGTACAACAAAAAGTTCGAAGAAATGAGTAAATCCATGAATGATACACTGCGA